TAGTGGAGGATTTGTAGTTTATAGCTGTTGATAGTGGAGGATTTGTAGTTTATAGCTGTTGATAGTGGAGGATTTGTAGTTTAAAGCTGTTGTTAGTGGAGGATTTGTAGTTTATAGCTGTTGATAGTGGAGGATTTGTAGTTTATAGCTGTTGATAGTGGAGGATTTGTAGTTTAAAGCTGTTGTTAGTGGAGGATTTGTAGTTTTTTACCTGTTCAAAGTGGGGGTTTGTAGTTTATAATTATTAGTAGTGGGGGATTTGTAGTTTATACCTGTTGGTAGTGGAGGATTTGTAGTTTATAGCTGTTGTTAGTGGAGGATTTGTAGTTTATACCTGTTGGTTGTAGGATATTTGTAGTTTATAGCTGTTGGTAGTGGGGATTTATAGTTTTACCTGTTTGTAGTGGGGCTTTGAAGTGTATACCTGTTGGTAGTGGGGGGCTTTGCAGTTTTTTATCTTGTGGTAGTGGGGGATTTGTAGTTTTGTCTGTTGGTGGTGGGGTATTTGTACTTTTTTTAACCTGTTGGTGGTGGGGGATTTGTAGTTTTTACCTGTTGGTGGTGGGGGATTTGTAGTTTTTACCTGTTAATAGTGGGGTATTTGTAGTTTTTACCTGTTGGTAGTGGGGGATTTGTAGTTTTTACCTGCTGGTAGTGGGGGATTTGTAGTTTTTACCTGTTAATAGTGGGGGATTTGTAGTTTTTTGCCTGTTGGTACTGGGGAATTTGTAGTTTTTACCTGTTGGTGGTGGGGGATTTGTAGTTTCTACCTGTTAATAGTGGGGGATTTGTAGTTTTTACCTGTTGGTAGTGGGGGATTTGTAGTTTTTACCTTTTGGTAGTGGGGGATTTGTAGTTCTTGTTGGTGTAAATCTCCTCCAGACTGAACTCTTTCTTCTTTAACCTAAAAAGAAAACCATGTTTTTGGTATTTCATGTTTTTTATTCAGATTTTGTGGTTTCTGTTTGTCGACCACGCCCTGACCTTTTGACTTTTGGCAGTCCCATCGGAGTGAGCAGCGTTTCCCGCGGTGAAGCCCGGCGGATTCGGATCTGTGAAACTCGTTTACAACTCTGAGAAGGACAGGAACAGAGGTGGTCAGAGAGACGTTTGAGGACGGCGCAGGAAGTGTGACAGCCCCATCAGCAGGAAGTGTGACAGAGGATCAGAGACAAAATAAAATGTAAAGCAAATAAAATCTCCACCTCTCCATTTACGCTGAGAAACTCTGAGCTCACTGCTGATTGGCCAATGGCAAGCGGAGCAGACAGTCCATTGGCTGAACGGAGGGGGAGGGGCTGTAGACGGGGGAGGCGAAGTCGGAACGACCTGTGATTGGCCCGTTGCTTCTGCTGTCGCCGGGCAGAAAATGTGGGGCTGTGACACACAGGAAGTCACATGGTTCAAACTGATGACATCACAGATTAATCATAACCAATAATATCATATAAATAATTACCTGGGTATCGGCGACCGCACGTAACTGCAGAGACAGAATGTTAGGACAGCGTTACGTCAGAGCGAGTCATCATCACATCACACAGGAAGTGCAAGTATGTAACAAACAGGAAGTACAGATAGGTAACAGACAAGAAGCAGGGATATGCGGAAAACAGTAAACGTGTGATCAGACAGGATTCATTAATATTCACTGACAGATGAAAACACATAAACACGCCGTGGCCCAATCAACATGGCCAACTATCCTCTCTGCTCTCACAAACATATTTTAATGTACAGTTGACCTGCTCCAGCTGGTGGGCGGAGCTTGTCATCTTACAATAAACGCTAAAATACATTTATGAAAACAGGAGATCAGCGCTGCCTCGTCTGACATGACTGTGTTGGACACTCGGGGGTGGTGGCGAGGACACAGAGGACATGTTTTTTTAATAACAGAAGATTTTTAACCAACCAGTGGTCACTGCTCAGACTGGGCGGGGCCGTCCAGTCCTTCAGGGGCCGCAGGGGACTCACACAAGCTCCACCCCTCACTGATTCTGACATGGTCTCCACGGCAACTGCTGAGAGACGCAGGATGGGGATGGGACTAAAGGTGGAGGTGGAGGAGAAGCCTAGGTGCCATAAGTGAAAAGCATGGGGATTGGAGAAGAAGGAGAGAGGTGCGGTGATGTCAGAGAAACGCCACTGGCCTGAAGAGATGTCGAATGCTTCTGATTGGCTACAGGTCTGACCCCTCTGGGCTGACTGCAGCAGGTGCAGGGCCTGCTGGGAGGAGGAGCCGGAGACGCTGGGCGGAGACAAAGACAAGAGAGTTTATGAATATTAAAATATACATTTGTTTTGAATTTAACTGTTTATTAGATTATGATCAAATTTTCATGACTGTTGTCACGGTAACTTTATTCAGATAAACAAATAAGAACCTGTGTGGCAGCAACAGCAGTGGCACTCTGTAACCATTCTGCCTGACGATACTGACAGCCTTCTCTGATTGGCTGCTTCCTCCCTCCTCTCTTCTGTGTTTCTTGTGGTTGAATTTGTGCAGAGTGAGCAGCGCTTCCTCCTCTGCTCCTCGTCCTCCTCTGAAGGAGACCGCCATCCGCCCCACAAATCTCCCAGCATCCTTCTCCTCATCTTCTTCTTCTCTGTTTTCTTTGTGGTTCTTCCTTCTCCTCTTCCTCCCCCCCCCCTCCACATCCTCATCCTCTCCTCTGCTCCTCCTCCTCTGTTCTGATAGGCTCACACTAGAATATGTGTGAGAGTCCTCGCTGTCTGAGGAGGATGATGAGGAGGAGGTGGTGACATGTGGGGGGTGGGTGGGGCTATGGGAGGGGGCGGAGCTAAATGAGACAGCTCCCAAACCTTAACAGAGAGAAATGTGTTAACAACAATTTTCACTGAGAGGACGAGACAAAGGAGGAGACAGACAGAACTCACCAGCTCCGTCTTCTTCTCCTCTCTGTCTGCTCCACTTATTCCTCCTCTTCCTCCTGCTCCTCCTCTCTAGAGAGTCCAGACGACGGCCGAGGGAGGCCAGAGCTCCTCGCAGGAGGCGCCGCACCTCCAACCGGTGAGCTGAGAGGAGGCGAGGCAGGAGGGAGGAGCAGGGGCAGCAGGGAGAAGGAGGAGGAGGAGGAGGAGGAAGAGACGGAGCTACAGGAACAGAAGAAAGAGGAGGAGAAGGAGACAGGGAGACAGGAGAAGAGGATGGAGAAAGAGGAGAACAAATGGCAGAAGTGTAAGGAGTAAAAAAGTCAGGAGGAGGTGGAGGAGGGAGTGGAGGAGAAACAAGAGGAGTAGAGTGGTGATAAAGGAGAGGAAGAGGAGGAGCAGAAGAACAAGGAGGAGAGGGAGAGACAGAAACAGAATGAGGAGGTGAGGGATGGAGGAACAAAGGGACAGGAGGAGATGAAGAAGAAAGACAAGACAAATGGGAAGGAGGAGGAGGAGGAAGGGAGGAGACAGGAGTGGTGGAGGAGGATGATGAAGAAAGAGGAGAAGGGTAAGAACAAGGAGGACGAAGAAAAAAAGAAGCAACAAGAGGAGGTGAAATAAAAGGAGTAGAAGGGACAGAACGAGGGGCAGGAGGTGAGGGAAGGAGGGAAGGAGGAAGAGGAGGAGATGAAGAGGGAAGAGGAGAAAAGGAGGAAGAATTAGGAGGAGTGCAAGGATCAAAGGAGACGGGAGGAAGAGGAGGACACGAGGAGGGAGCACAAGGAAAAAGAGAAGCAGGTGGGACAGAAGATGGAGGAGGGCGAAGGAGGGCCACAGGAGGAAGAGGAATTAGAGAAGGAGCAGAGGAGGGAGAGGAGGCACAGGGAGGAGGAGGAGCTATAGAAGGAGCAGAGGGGGAAGAGGAGGCACAAGGAGGAGGTGAAAGAGGGGACACAGGAGGAGGAGCAGAGAATGCTGCAGAGGAGTGAGGAGGAGGAGGAGCTACTGAAGGAGCAGAGGAAGAGGAGGTGCAGGGAGGAGGAGAACAAAGGAGGGAAACAGGAGGAAGAGCAGTTAGAGAAGGAGCAGAGAAGGAAGAGGAGGCATGGGGAGGAGGGGCAGGAGGACAAAGAAGGAACACAGCAGGAAGAGGAGATACAGAAGGAGCAGAGGAGGAAGAGGAGGCACAGGGAGGAGGAGGCGCAACAGAAGGAGCAGAGGAGAAAGAGGAGCCATGGGAAAGAGGAGAAAGAGGGGACACAGGAGGAGCAGAGAATGATGTAGGGGAGTGAGGAGGAGGGGGAGGAGGAGGAGGAGGAGCTACAGAAGGAACAGAGGAGGAAGAGGGGGCACAGGGAGGAGGGGGAGGAAAAAGGAGGGACACAGGAGGAGGAGCAGAAAATGCTATAGGAGACAGACGAGGATGAAGATGAGGAGAAGCTACAGAGGGAGCAGAGGAGGAAGAGTAGACAGGTGAGGAGGAGCTCCAGGCAGGTGCAGGGGGATGAGCCAGAACTCCTGAAGGAGAAACAGCAGTCAGTTCTCTGTCAACAGAAACTTAATGTCTCTGAACCTGAGGTCAGGAGGCGGAGTCAGGGTTAACTCTGTTTACTGGGATAGATTACTGTGGTAACTGATGCTGATAAATGACCACAATAACTAATTCTATTACTGCATCTTGCTAACTCGGCCATTCTGGATGTCACTAACTCGGCTTCTTCTCCGGAGCCTTTGTGCTCCACTGTCTCTCAGAATAACTCATATCACAGCGGTGCCTGGACAGCGTGACGTGTGTGGTTGTGCTGCTGCCGTGGTCCTGCCAGATGCCTCCTGCTGCTGCTGCCATCGTTAGTCATTAGTCATACTTCTACTGTTATTATACACATATGACTATTGTCACACATGTATACTGCCAGATATTAATACATACTTTCAACATATTGTACCACAGTAGCCAGAACTATAACTATAATATTATTACTTTCAATAATGTT